GTGCCCATGTCGCCGCTGATGGTGACGTTGGTCAGGTCGAGCTTCTCGCCGGGACGGGCGGTCGTGCGCACGAACGAGCGCGGCTTCCCCGAGCCGGCGTCCACCTCGGCGTAGTCGCCCACGCGCTGGCACACGCCCTCCAGCACCTCCAGCAGGTGGGCCTCCGAGCGGGCAAAAGGCACCTGGCGGTGGAAGGGGGGTGGGGCCGAGGGGGGGACAGCGGCCACGGCACGGCGACGTGACGACTGGTTGTGTGGCGACGGTTGGTTGGGGGGGAAGGGGGAGGCGTACGTCATCGAAACGGAACTAGAAGGAAAACTGATGACGTACGCATACGTACGTCATCGGAATGGGAAAGGGTTAATGTACAGGGGAAGTTGATTCCAGTAGTGGGGTGCAGCAAGAAAGGAGGGAGATCGAAAAGGGGATTGGGTATAGAGAGCGACAAAGCGAGAATATTAAGAAGGAAAAGACTGAGAGGGGGCTTTGGTCACGGAGCGGAGGTGGGCACGAGATGATTGACGTGGGTTCACCTCGGTGGTGTCCTGGGTTCCGTCGGGGTTGATGCGGAAGGAGCCCACCTGGATGGTTTTCTTGGGGTCCACCTGGCCTACCTCCCACGTCACCTCGTCCACCAGCGCTCGGCAAGCTGAGCACCCCCACAAACAACGACGACGATGATGACGACAACGAAGACCATCATCATTACTTCAATCCAAGCTGAGATACCTATATCGTGTCATGTCTGGAGTGGCACCCAGTGCTGCACCTGATAGTGAAGCAGCAGTCAGGGTGACTAATGATGATGCAGTGCTCACTCATCCACCCACCGGATAGAATTCAGAGTAAAACAGCAGCCGGGACCATTGATGATGCAGCACTTACTGATTCACTCCAATCACTCGCTCGCTCACTCACTCACCCACTGGATATAATTCATAGTGAAGCAGCAGACGGGGCGATTGGTAACCCCAATTATATACTCACCTCCTTGTCACTCTTCTATCGCTACTACCATAGCTGCTGTTCCCGTGAACTCCACTCACCGATTCCTATCCGCCAATCGTGAAAACTTGGTCAACCAGACACCGACTCATCTTCTTGGTTCTTTCGGTAAAGGTCACGTTGAAGGGAAATAATAAAATAATAAAAGTAAAACATAATAAAATAATTCTCACGACGTTTCGGCCACAACGCAGCAGCCGTCCTCAGGTGACTTTACGGAAAGAAACCAAGAAGATGAATCCCTGCAGTCACGAAAGCTTTAAATCGAAACAGACACCGACTGTTTCGTCTCACCTACCACACAGTGTTCAGCTACCACCACCACACCACACTGCAGGTGATAAATATAATAACTCACTCACCACTCACTCACCGCACTACAGATCACAACACTTCCATTTCTGATTATTTCCCACGTTATGCAAACCAGGGGTCATCTCCGATTATCTGTGCCGTCACCTCTTGCTGTACTCCGCACCACTGATTAGCCCGGTTGGCTACGTACGGGACAAAAGAAGTTCAGCGTACATACATATACAGCACAACGCATGCCTCACTGCCACTGTCTTAGGTAGTACCGATATTCCTTCAAAATAATACCCGCCATGGTACTCATTTTAGGCTCAGTCGACCTAGCGGGGAGTAGAGGGAGTCCAGGTCAGGTTTCAGACACCAGATACAACTGACATTGGCCACGGTGGGGGAATTAGGGTTGCCACATTTTATTCTCACGGCAGCCAAACCCAGACATCTTCTCAGCCGGCACTCCGTCCAGCATCAGAACCGAGCAGTGTCAACTGCGATGACGCCCAAAGTAACGCAGGTACCAGGTTCTTGGTACAAATCAATTTCTTCCACCCGGACACAGATGCCAATTCCGATCGCATTGGCCATTCTCCGACCCGTAAGCAAATTTTCGGACCGTCAAACCCGGACAGGTGGTAACCGTAGTGGGTGGATAAGTGGGCGAGTGAGTGAATGGGTGAGGGTTGAGCGATTCGGTGGACAGGTGAGTGGGTCAACGAGTCCGCCTAAGTGTATCAAAGCAGAGCCGTAACCTGAAATAAAGTTCAACACAATGCCGATAGCAGATCTCGGCAAAAATCAATTCCTGCCACCCAAACACAGAAGCCGATTACGGGGACTGTCCGGGTTCAAGCCAGACAGGTGGCTACACCAGTGGTTGGGTGGGTGGGTGAGTTACTGCATGACTTGATACATGAATGAGTTACTGCGTTACTTGATACATCAATGAGCGGATAAGCAAGTGAGTGGGTGAATTACTGAATGACTTCATAAATGAATAAGTGAATGAATCGGTAAATAGGTAACTGCGACTTGATAAATGAGTGAATAAATGAGTAGATGAGTTACTGCGTGACTTGATAAATGAACAAGTCAACGACTGAGTGGGCGAGCGAGTGGGTCCCGAGAATCGATCCCAAGTTGTCGACTTGGTGAACCACGACATCACCGAGAGCGCTTGCGCCAGGCTAGGTACACCTTGAGGCCTCACACACACAGACAACACAATACACCGGCCCATGCTCACCTCCACAGTACAGACCGTAGTCCTTCTTGGCAGCCCCCGGCGTGGAAAGCATCAGCAGCGCAGAGGCGCTCAGCAGCAGCAAGGTCGGCAAACTCATGGCGCCTCCTCCTCCTCCTCACTCGAGCTCTGGTGAAGCCGAGAGCAGATCAACAACTCAGCTCAACAGCCCAAGGACCAGGAGTTCAGCGGATCTGCCACAGCCGGGGAGTGTGGGTTTTAGAGAGTACACACTGCTGTAAGATTACACGCCGTGTGAGAGTACACGCTGCTGTGTGTATACTATGAGTAGACTGTGTGTCTGAGTACACGTGCTGTGTGTGTGAGTACACTGTGTGTGTGAGTACACTGTGTGTGAGTAGACTGTGTGTGTGAGTACACTGTGTGTGTGAGTACACTGTGTGTGAGTACACTGTATGAGTACACGTGCTGTGTGTGAGTACACGTGCTGTGTGTGAGTACACGTGCTGTGTGTGAGTACACTGTGTGAGTGAGTACACTGTGTGAGTACACTGAGTACACTGTATGAGTGAGTACACTGTGTGAGTACACTGTGTGAGTACACTGTGTGAGTGAGTACACTGTGTGAGTGAGTACACTGTATGAGTACACGTGCTGTGTGTGAGTACACTGTGTGAGTGAGTACACTGTGTGAGTGAGTACACTGAGTACACTGTGAGTACACTGTGTATGAGAGTACACTGTGTATGAGTACACGTGCTGTGTGTATGAGTACAGTACACTGTGTGTATGAGTACAGTACACGTGCTGTGTATGAGTACAGTACACTGTGTGTATGAGTACGCGTGTTGTACTGTACACGTTGTCAGCAGTTAGGCGGCGTGGAACGCGGCGCACAGGCGACACGTGTCAGCCTCGTCACGTGACTTCAACCAGCTGGGGGGAGGGGCCTCGCGCGCGAGGACCCCCACTCCCCTGAGCTGCCCTCCCGTGCGCCTGATTTCTAAACACTTTTATTCACATCAAGCTACATAAGTATAACCCGTAAAAACAAAGTTTTTCACTCTAAATCCTTTATATGCGTGGCGGCTAGAGTCCTCTCGTCCTCTGGCTTGAGATGGCTGCCACCTATGGGTCAGATGATTGTCTGCCAGTATTAAGCAATTGGTAATTAAATATTTAATTTGTTTTCCCTAAACAGTGTAAAATTTTGGAAAAAAATTTTCACGAACATTAATTGTCTCGCACAACGAGTCTGTGTGCAAAATGTCAGCTCGATTGGATCACGGGAAGTGGGTTAAAAAACGACCGAAAGGTTTGCACGGTCGTAAGCAAGCAAGCACGCAAGCAAGCAAGCGAACTTAATATAAAGGATTTAATAAAAAATAAAACATAATACAATAATTCTCACGACGTTTCGGCCACAACGCAAGCAGCCGTCCTCAGGTGAAGACCAGGTCTGTCTGAGTTTAAGATATGTTTTCTAATTTTACATGTTATCAATAAAAAGGGAAGTACATTTAACCTCAGTTACTGTTTAGCATTACAATTGTTTCTTCTTGATACAACACGGGTGGATATGTTTATACCATGGTTATTAACCAGGTAAAACATTTAAACCCTTATTAACAGGTTGCCTTTAGAGGCTGACTCCTCTGCTTGATGACGACCGCCTGTTGTTGCGTTCGAAACGTCGTTATTTATTAAATCCTTTATATTACGTTCGCTTCCTTGCTTGCGTGCTTGCTTGCTTGCTTACGACCGTGCAAATCTTTCGGTCGCTTTTTAACCCACTTCCCGTGATCTAATCGAGCTGACATTTTGCACACAGACTCGTTGTGCGAGACAATTCATGTTCGTGAAAAAAATTTCCCTAAATTGTACACTATTTAGGGAAAACAAATTAAATATTTAATTACCAATTGCTTAATACTGGCAGACAATCATCTGACCCATAGATTGCAGCCATCTCAAGCCAGAGGACGAGAGAACTCTAGCCGCCACGCATATAAAGGGTTTAGAGTGAAAAACTTTGTTTTTACGGGTTATACTTATTTTTCTACCTATGTGACTTTACCGAAAGAACCACAGAGTATTGATCCCTGCAGTCACGAAAGCTTCAAATCAAGATAGAGAGCAAATCACTACAAATATGTTGTAAACGAACACTTTACAGTATTTGTATTTTACCAGTTAAAGCCCGCAGAGTTATTCTTTTTCAGAAGCGATCTGGCCGCAAAGAGTACTGGAAGAGGAGAGAAGACTTCGTGATTACTGAGATTCTCTTATTGATTTGTCTTTGTGTTTTGAGACCTTGGCACGCGAGCCAGGCAGGAGACGTGGTTGTTGTTGTTGTGTTTGTCTCTCTGCTGCAGCCCCCCCGGGGCCTTTCGCTAGGACTGCAGGTTGCCTTGACTTAAATCCTCGTTTCATTAAACGTTGATCACTGAACTCAGGTGGGGGTGTTTTTCTTGAGTGTCTGTTTCTTCAGTGTTGTTGTATCTCCAGCCAGATGCTTGGCTATGTTTCCATTATCAAGATGACACTTTGGCTCCATGCCACCCGAGTTCGATTCCCGATCACGGCTGCTTGACATGAGTGGAAAGTTATTTAAAGCTATAAAAACCTCTGTGTGCCTATGTGTGTCTCTCTCTCTATGTGTTTCTGTGTTATCTCTCTCTGCTTATATGTCTGTCTATGTCTCCGGTTCTGTGTTTTGTATCTCTCAAATTTAGTATTCTCTGGAAGAATGTAATCAACCAGGTAGGGTGTTGACTGTTATGTTAGCCGACTCTCTGTTGTATTGCATTCTATTTCTAAGTTTACTAGGTTTGTTTTCTCTTTCATTTATACCTGATGATGATTGCTTGTGTTGCAATCGAAACGTCGTATGCTATTTAATTTATTATTTTCTCTTTATACGTGACTTTACCGAAAGAACCAAAGAGTAATTCCTTTTTAAATCCTTTATATTAAGTTCGCTTGCTTGCTTGCGTGCTTTCTTGCTTACGACCGTGCAAACCTTTCGGTCGTTTTTTAACCCACTTCCCGTGATCCAATCGAGCTGACATTTTGCACACAGACTCGTTGTGCGAGACAATGTTCGTGAAAATTTTTTCCAAAGTTTTACACTGTTTAGGGAAAACAAATCAAATATTTAATTACCAATTGTTTAATACTGCAGACAATCATCTGACCCATAGGTGGCAGCCATCTCAAGCCAGAGGACGAGAGGACTCTAGCCGCCACGCATATAAAGGATTTAGAGTGAAAAACTTTGTTTTAACGGGTTATACTTATTATTTTGCCCGGTAAGGTCCATTGAGCGGTGTAGCTCTTATTCAGAAGCGACCTGACCACAAATGATAGCTCAACCAAAGAGTGGCCCACGTGGGAGAGAGGAACACGCAAACTCAAGATATACAGCAGTAGCAGGGGGTCGGGATCGAACTCATGGTGCTGCTGCTGCCTGTGTACCAGGCGAGGTAACTAACATCTCTGCCACCAAATACAACCCGCGCTCTAGAACACGTTCCCAGCGCACGCTTGGGCAATGCAGAAACACAATGACAAGTCTCGTGAGTGAACAAGAGCTTTGTGGTTCATCGGATTCCTCCTGCAGTCTGACGAAAGACTGATGTTGCTTGTCAAGGTGAACTTTGTCTTCCTCGTGAATGTTTACTTCTTAAAATGTGGCGCGCTTACGGTATATTATTATTTACACATCGTTCAGTATATATACACATATCGTTAGAAGGAATCTTCTTGGTTCTTTCGGTAAAGTCACGTAGAAGGGAAGCAATAAAATAATTTTATGTTTATATGTTTTATTTTTATTATTTTATTGCTTCCCTTCTACGTGACTTTACCGAAAGAACCAAGAAGATGAATCCCTGCAGTCACGAAAGCTTTACATCGAAATTTAATTATATTTAATGTTTTATTTGTATTATTTTATTATTTCCCTTCAACGTGACTTTACCGAAAGAACCAAGAAGATGAATCCCTGCAGTCACGAAAGCTTTACATCGATCGTTAGAAGGAATGTTTTAATACGTATAGAAACCTGCATGTAATTAACGTGCTTTGAAACGGCTTCAGAATCAGGATGTGTAACGAGGCTGGAGGCATGTGACAAGGCGTGGTGCGTGGTGTGTAAAGAGCTTCACAGCTTATCGGATTCCTCCGCTACACAGCAATGTCGCAAGCTGCTTCCTACTAAACCTTCCGGGGTAAGTGAAGATTCTCACTGATCGATTTGTCGCCCGACCACTTTTTCAAGCCACGACGGAGCGAGCGTCCAGTTCGTTCTCAAGATGATCGGAAACGCGCGGATCGATATCCGTATCGATCCCATATGAAACATTTTTTTTAACTCGGAAAAATGTATCGATACATTTATGTCGGCCATAGGAATCGTTTTGGGCGGAGGTTCAATCGTATTCATCAATCGTAACGGCTAAGGGGTGTTCGATTAAGTCATTACGCAATGTAAGTAATTGATAGGGAATCGACAAATGCATCTGTGTACCGATACGACAGCCAAGAATCGATACGCGGGAATCGCAACTCGAGAACCCCCCACCGACACAACAGACGCGAATCGAGCCTAGAATCGAAACGTTCTGGAATCGGTTGTAGATTCACGAATCGATTGTGGACGATTCCCGCCGTCAGGACCCCAGACAGGCGACTTGGGGACGACGCGGCGGCGTTTTGCCTTCAAATATCAATCATCGTCTCCCTCCTCACCCTCCCTCCTCACCCTTCTCCTCACCCTCCTCCTCACCCTCCTCCTCCTCACCGTCTCACCCTCCTCACCGTCTCATTCTCACCCCCCCTCACCGTCTCCTCCTCGCCGTGGGGCCGCGAAGATGAAGCGCGATGGCAGACGAAGTTGACGCGAGGGAGCAACACTTCCACAACCGCGTCAGAGAGAGCATCGTGAGTACACAGAGGGGGGGGCATCGTGAGTACACAGAGGGGGGGGCATCGTGAGTACACAGAGGGGGGGGGGCATCGTGAGTACACACAGGGGGGGGGGCATCGTGAGTACACACAGGGGGGGGCATCGTGAGTACACAGAGGGGGGGGGGCATCGTGAGTACACACAGGGGGGGGGGCATCGTGAGTACACACAGGGGGGGGCATCGTGAGTACACAGAGGGGGGGGGCATCGTGAGTACACAGAGGGGGGGGGGCATCGTGAGTACACAGAGGGGGGGGCATCGTGAGTACACAGAGGGGGGGGCATTGTGAGTACACAGAGGGGGGGGGGCATCGTGAGTACACAGAGGGGGGGGGGCATCGTGAGTACACAGAGGGGGGGGGCATCGTGAGTACACAGAGGGGGGGGGGCATCGTGAGTACACACAGGGGGGGGGGGCATCGTGAGTACACACAGGGGGGGGCATCGTGAGTACACAGAGGGGGGGGGCATCGTGAGTACACACGGGGGGGGGCATCGTGAGTACAC